GCTTTGCTCGGGCGGCTCGCAGGGAGCCGCGGGAGCCGCGGCCGGGCCCGTCCCGTCACGGCGGCCGGGCCCTGCCCCGCCCTGGCCCCTCCCGCCGCCGCCATGTGACGCGGCCGCCGCTGGGGGGCGCCGCGCGCGCGGGGCCGGTAGGGGGCGCCGGGCGCGCCGCCGGTCCGTGCAGCATGGCGGCGGCGGGGGCTGAGCAGACACAGCCGGAGCCGGCCGCCGGCGCCGCGCCCGAGGAGTCGTCGGACAGCGAGCCGGAGCAGGAGCCCGGCTCCCTGCAGAAGCTCATCCGCAAAGTCTCGACGTCCGGGCAGATCCGCCAGAAGGTGCGTGCGGCGGGAGGGGGCCGCGGGCAGGGCCTCGGGGTCCTGGCGGCGCTGCGGCCGGCGCTGCCTCCGCGTTACGCTCGGTGCCGCCGCCTCTCCCTCCCGCCCGGCACGGTCCGCGCCTCCGCCAGCCCGGGCCGCCGCTCTGGGAGTTGCCAGAGACCCCCGCAGCTTCCCCCTGGGGCCTGCCACCGAGCCCGTCCCCCAGGGAGCTGCCGGTGGTCCCCCTCACATCCCACTCCTCTCCCCTCACAACGACCCCTCAGGAGTCTGCCTGTGACCACCTCACATCCGCCAAGGCGCTCCTCAGCGACTCGGCCGTTTCCCCCTTTCCCCGTCGCCTGGAAAATCTTTAATTGTAACAAATGTTGTCCGTGTTAGAAAGGTTTATTTATCCCGTCGTTTTCGGTGACAGCCCAACTACCGCTCCGGGTCCTGCTGGCGACCCTCAACCTCCAGCGCAGAGACCCCCTGACAGCACCCCCAACAGCTGTCCAGACACTTGTGAACCCCAAAATGCCCCTCAGAGATCCCCATAATTAACTGTTTCTCAGGTGCCCGTTAGCAGCTGTCCCCTAAATCCCCTTCAGTGTCTGCCAGTGCCCCACAAACTGCCCTCAGGGGCTCCTGAAGTTGCCCCCGGTGCCTGAACCTCTCCAGTTCCTCTCCCCATAAGCCTGGCTTAGGCCACCTTCTTCTCAGTGCCCAGGTTCATGCCTCCCAGGGAGCTTTACCCAGCTCAGGGAGCAGTGTGGCCAGGCTCAGCAGAACCCCATCTTACTTCTTTCCTTCTTACCCTCTTTCCCTGTAATATTTTCTTGGAGTCATAGAGGTCAGATTTGGGCTCCTTCTCCCCAGTGCTGCTCCGTTTACCTGGTATTTGAATCCTCAAGGACATCCTCGTCCCATGAAGCTCCATCTTCCATTTTCTCCTCATGTCACAGTTGCCACGGTTGCCTTCCTCACCTCCCCATGCTTTCCCTGAGAACCTCTGTGCATCCCAGCCATAGCTCCCTGTCACAGTGTTCCATTATTGCTTTTCAACACCTCCCTCCTCCATGGTCCAGTTGTACTTGGCACAAGTCACTGTCTCATTTCATAGCTCTACTCTGGAAGGTGCAGCCCTCGTTATTCCCTGCAGTCTTTGTGTGGTGCCTCCCTCAGCATCTTCCCATCCTTTTTGTGTATCCTAATTCTCCCCATCTTGCACTGTGCTGTTTTACCTTTCTGTACCCATATAGCGATATTTAGCTTTCTGTCTGGTCAAGCAGTGATCTTACAGCTGGTTAGTCTTTGTTCCCAGCTTTGTCTGTCCTGCTTTGCCTTCCTGGTAAGGTAACACTACTTTCCACCCAGGTTCCCTTGGCTCAGTCATATTTTATCCCTCTGTGGCTCATCCTGGAACAATAACACCATTTTTTATGGACAGTAACAACATTCTGCAATTACAACCAAAACTGTAGATCTTCTGTGTTGTTACTGTAAAAGAAGATGTGAAGGTTTCCTTCAATTTTAGACTGGGAGCCACACATAGGGAGTTTCCCTTTTCTGTACTCTTTTTTATTATAGCAGCATGATTTTTCTTTGTAGCCACTAAGCTCCTGTGTAACTCTTGGACTGTTGTGTCATGTGTTTCTGCTTAGAAATACCAGGTTAGTTACTCTGTCATCATCTGCCTTATGCTCACCTTGTCTCTGCAGCATGGACAAGCACGGTGCAGCTGTGGGAATGCAAAAGCTCGCTCAGCACTGGTGCTGCAGCTCAGTGTTGCTTCTCTTGTACTCATAGCAAAGGACAGTAAATGTCTCTGCATGTTGCAGTGTCTGAAGCATTATCCAAAGGGCTCTTTTTTATGCTGGCTGGTTTGCCCTGCTTTCAAACACAGGACCTGCCATCATTCTGCTGCACATCATTCTTTAGCTGCATTGGTGCCAGTTAAGAAACCCCTGTGACAAGTGCAGTGGTACGTGAGGACTGTGACGGGGCTGCTTCCTCCATCTGTCAGGTGCTGCTGGAGCTGCTGCTGGCTTCTTGGGCTGAGGCACTGTGGGGTTGGGCTGTGAGATGGTTCTTTTGACCACACCAGGAATCCCTGGAGCCCTCTAAACTTGTTGATGTTTTGTATCAAGCAGATCTCAGCCGTGCTGGAGCACTAGGTGACTTAAGATAGTCTGTTATTCTGCTGTGAAAAAAAACCAAGCCTTTTGAAATATTTTACTGTATCCAGCATGCTGAATATTAAGAATTTGGCTTGCTGGAGATTGGATGAACCTTGGGATTTTTTAACACCACTTGTGGCAGGGGTCTCATGTGAACAGGAAGGAAGGATGCTATACTCTGTCTCCATGGTGGTGTTTGTGATGAGAGCAGGGATACACAGACTTTTCCACTGTCAAAGTGGGAGCTCTTTCTTATAGCAGGATGTTAGAGATGCTAAGGTGAAAGGTGCATTGGGTTGTATTTTTGTTTGGCTATAGCAGAATGCATCCTCCTGTCCCTACTTAATAGTTTTCCCTGTTTTACATCACTTCTGGTGTCAGCATGGCTGGAAAAAGATGAAACTTGCATATACAAACATAAACATATTAAGAACAAGTATTATAGACAGATATTGTCTACAGCTATTAAGCTGTGTGTTAACAGAGTTTAATGTCTGCAGACAGTAACAGGTTAACAGCTGTGTGTTAACCTGCCAAAAACCTTTGACTATATCTTGTCAAATTTTCCAAGTAAGCCCAGGTATTCTGGTATTCAGGATTGATTTGTTCTATTGCTTGTTGATGTCATTTTGGTTTGTCATTGTCTTTTCTGCATGCTGCTGCATGTATACTCTTTCCTTGCCCTCAGGGCAAGAAGCAAAGACAACTTCGTGGGTAATCATGGTTTTGATGAGACTTTGAGAGCTTGCTTCCTTTTTAAAGGCAGACCTAATTCTGAATTTGTTGAATGATAGAGTGCTGACTACTGTAAGCTGTAGAAGCTGTTGGACAGGTCTGTCAGTGACAGTAGGAGATGCAGGCAGACTTTTACTATGGCCTGAGGATATAAATCTCTTCTGACCACATCTTTTGCTGCAGTTAGCTTAAGACCATGCCTGTAAGTACTGCTAAATCACCGTTGAAGCTTACTGTTACCGCAGCTTGAGTACAAAATATGTTGTGCCCATGGAATTCCTGAGAATTTACTTGTTTGTCACACTTTGAAGGTATGTTTTCCTTCCTCTTGTACTGCCAACTGTTTTCCTAAAGTAAAGCTGCTTGCTTGCTTGCAAGACCATAAAACTTCAATGAATTTGTCTCAAATCCCCACAATTGTTCAACTGTATTTGACTGAAGTAGCTTGGTGTGATAGTAGTGGGGCAAGTGGAATCATTTGGATGTTTAAGGACTAAGGTGTTGATGTGCAGGGTCTAAAGGCAAATCACAGGTAACATCTCTTCAGCTAGAAAACCTGTCCCTTGTGAGGCAGTGGGCAGGGGAAGTGGAAGGCTCAGTGTTTGGAAAGTGAAGTACTGTGTTCTAATGTACTTACTTGCTTTTAGCTAGAGAGAATTTTTGAGGCAGAGAAGAAGCTATAGGGGTCTTTTAATTATTATTATCACTGTAATAATAATAATAATTGTTATTATTATTAAATAATAAAGCCTCACATGTAAGGTGTAGCAGGTAATGTGAGTGGTCTTGTCTCAGCTGGCTGAGAAGCAGAGGCTGAATTGTGTGCTTCATCAGCCATTTTGAGACCTGACAGACTTATGCCAGCATAAGGCCTGAGTGCACTACTTTTAGCTCCTCTCTGATCTCAGGTGGTGTTGGTGCAGCTGCAGATTAAGTATTTTTGAATGGATAGGAATTAGGAAAGAGATGAAATGAGCTAAGAGGAGGAAGATGTGTGTGAGGAAAGGCAACTGCAGGACCTTGCTCCCACTTCCTAAGCAGTGCTGAGGCCTTGGCTGGAACCAGCTGAAGTGGTAGTGTCATCTCATTGTCACTCAGCATGGACCGAGGCACAGGAATACTCCAAGTGCTCCTGGGAGCTGAGGGTGTGAAACCAAGGAGCACAGAACCTTTTATAAGCTCTGACAGTGAAATGTGCTTCTTCCTTTGAACTTGACCTTTCATTTCCAGCATCACATTACAACGTTCAGAAAGCTGGAGGGTGGATGAACAGGCCATTTTCCCATTTCATTCATCAGTTCTGTGGGATTTCCAGCCTGCCAGCTTTGGTATGTTGAGCTCTCTGTTTACCAGACAGGATTTCAGCAGCGTCCTTGGGTGGCATCAGGAGAACTTCTTGTTTAGACTAGTTCAGTCTAAGTTCTGTTTACTTTCACACGCAATTTCTCTGTAATATTTTCAGTTTTATAAGCATTTATCATTGCCTTGAACTTTTTAAGACAAGTTTGCAGTGTATATTTCACG